TATGGTACTGGCACAAAAACAGACACATAGATCAATGGAACAGAATAGAGAGCCCAGAAATGGACCCTCAACTCTATGGTCCACTAATATTTGACAAAGCAGGGAAGGATGTCCAATGGAAAAAAGGCAGTCTCTTCAACAAATGGTGTTGGGAAAATTGGGCGGCCACATGCAGAAGAATGAAACTGAACCATTTCTTTACACCACACACAAAAATAAACTCCAAATGGTTGAAAGACCTAAATGTGAGACAGGAGTCCATCAACATCCTAAAGGAGAACACAAGCAGCAACCTCTTTTTGTGGATGGTATCTTTCTGACAGTGGAGAAGATATAGACATAGGAGACTGTGCTGCAAATAAAGTAACAGAAATCCAGGACTGTGTTAACAAGAATGAGTACAATTTCTGCAGTTATATTCTCTGAGCAAGTAATAGCTAGCAACTGGGGGATATCACAGAAGAATTGTTGAACTTCATTGAATCCACGATAAGATAAAGAAAACGTTCCTGCTCTATGTATAACAGATATCAAGCCACCGCTGAGCCAGGACAGAGCCACCATCTGCCCACATCTGCCCCTATTCATGATGGTTTCATAGTACAAAGGATGGCAAATGGCAGCATAGTGGTCAATGGACATCACTGTGACGAGGAATAACTCTGCCACTGCTGAAAAAGGCACCAGAAAGACCTGGGCGACACAGCCAAAAAATGAGATAGAATTGCTGTGTGTCAAGGGATTTACAACAATTTTGGGCACAACAGCTGAAATGAGACAAAGATCAAACAGGGACAGATTCCTTAAAAAGAAATACATGGCTGTGTGCAGGCATGGGTCCAAAGATATTATGGTAATAATGAGACCATTCCCCACCAGGGCTAACAGATAAATTACTGTAAAAAGCACAGATTGTAAAAACTGAAGACTCCATGGGCCAGAAAATCCCAAGATAAGAAATTCTGTCACCACCGAGACATTGTTCATTTTTGATGAAATATTCTGCATTAAAAAAAAAGTTATGGTTAAAGTGGTCAAGAATTCAAAGTATAGTTATTTTTCCTCAGTAAAGCTGAAAAAAAAACTGTGCTAATACTTATCACATTAATAAATGTACGTATGAGAAAAAGTCAAAAGTAGTTTTAAAAATTCATTCTCCTCATCAATTAATCCATATTTTTATCAAGATTTACTTCTCTTTATGTGTCTAAGGGTTATAATGCTATGCAAGCATATGCACAAATTATCAGATTCACAACAAAATACAACCTGTGCCTTACAGAGAAGAATCTTAATTTATAAGTGAAAGGAAGTGGAGGAATAAGTATGAAATATCCAATGATCCCATATTACCTCCTCTATCCATTGGCTTTGCAATTTTTGTCTTTCAATGAATTGATTATTTGACTCATAATTGTTCCCATATCTGTCTTAAAAGTAAACTTCATGAACGATAGGCATTCATCTTTTTACTTTAAATTTCATTTATCCTTATGTTGCTTTAATATTTTCTTTTTTCTTCTGATATTTTTAGATTATTGTTTATAATTGATTCTATGTAATATCACAGAATTTATTTTAGCCTTCTGCATTACTATGTATTCTCCCTTCTTACACTCATACTCTTTTTAGTTATGTAGTTTTCAAATTTCAAGGCCGTTTTATGCATTTGTGAAATCCATATGCTTAGATGGATTGATAGAAAGATAGAAATAGATACATACACATATATATGTGTTTATCAGATTTTACTTTCAAACACTGCTACACAATTACAATTAGAAAATCGGTCAAATTTCTATTTACAAAACTGTATTTCCTTTCCCTGTATTTTAACTACTGATATCCAGTTTCTAATTCTCTGATAGACATGCTACTTACACATGGATCTTTCCAAATATTTTGCCTAAATATAATCCATATTAAGTAAAAAAAATGCTGTATACTTTTCTACTTGATTTAAAATCTGCCAACACTTCAGCAGAAAAGACATTAAATAGGTGTAAATTGGATATAGGTATAGATAAACATATACATAATAATGAATAGCAATAAGCATATTTATTAGTTTATCTACCATCCATTTATTTACTGTAACTCTTTATCTAGTTTTACTTCAATGTGTTTCTTGTATTATAATTTAGTGCTATAGCTCAACTTTTATCTGTCAGTATCTGACTTCTCTTTCTGTCTCAACAATTAACAATTATTACTTATTAAATTAAGATTTCAATTAATGAAACAGTGTAAATGGAAAAAGAAAGTGCAATTGTTTCAAAAATTTAGGTGAATGGTTTCAGTGTAAGTTTCTGAAATCAACAGACCTCTGCTCTTTTACAAGTCAGGAGTAAGCAGTAGCAATAATTTGATGCAGATGTTTGGCATGTTCTTCAGTTACAAGTTTTATTAAAATTCTATTTTATTTAAGTTTTGTAATTGTGTTAAGATATTTTATTTCCTAGTTTGGCTCAGTGTTCTTATACTTTCCGTATATGCAACCTGTTTTTATATAGTGTATATAACTAAAAAGTAAGTAAATATAAAACTATTGTAATCAACTATTTGGAATTCAATGTGTTTTATCTCATTCTTTTTTGGAAAAGAACCATTTGAAACCAATCATTGCAAAATTATATCCACTTAAGTTATTAAATGTTACAGAATGGAGAAGAGAGTTATAGCTGAATTATACCTAAGACTTATACTATGGGTTCAAATACATAGAATTAAAATATTTTCCTTATATACACTCTCTGTATAGATGATAGATAGGTAGATAGATGATCGATAGATAATAGATAGATGATAGATAGATACATAGACAGATGATATAGATATATAGATATTACATCCAAGAAACTTGTATTACTAGAAAAATTAGGAAAGATTTTGGTAGGTTTATTTTCTGACTGAAATTAAAATGAACAACCAAAATAAAAGAAAATAAAACTCACGGAAGTATTCTTTCTGTAGAAGATGGAAGAAATCATCAGGCTTTGTGTGTAGTTGTTTTTTTGTTTGTTTGTTTGTTTGGTATTTTTTTAAGTCTTTTTTTTTAAGATTTTATTTATTTATTTGAGAGAGAGAGAATGAGAGATAGAGAGCACGAGAGGGAAGAGGGTCAGAGGGAGAAGCAGACTCCCTGCTGAGCAGGGAGCCCGATGCGGGACTCGATCCCAGGACTCCAGGATCATGACCTGAGCCGAAGGAAGTCGTTTAACCAACTGAGCCACCCAGGCGCCCTGTGTGTAGTTGTTAATGGAAGTATTACTGATCATTATTCTAGGTCAACAACACTAGCGGTGATTTTCAAATATTGAGAAACTTCTTTCCTAAAAGGTACTTTGCTTCTTGCTTTCTTGAATTTAGCTAATATAGTTGTATGTAAGAACAAACAGAATGAGGATGGTGATGATTTTATATTTGTTGCCCATCTCCCAATGGCTTGAACTCTGAAATATTCCAAAGGGAAATGCTGCCATTCTTATTGGAATTGACTTATTTAGTCTGTCCCTCACAATCGTAAAAGAGACACATTGACACAATGAGATATGTGGAAATAAAGTAGCATGATGATATCTGAAATCAGTGGGTAACATCAAATACTGGCATGCATTCAAGAGGCTTCATAATTTGTAAGAAAGCATTTAAGAAATATATATATCTAATCACAATTGAGCCTTTATAGAGAAATGTCAATTTGTCTGGCACTTTCCCAGGTATCAGTTATATCACCCACAGTAAAAATATACTTTTATTAAATAACATCTTGAAATCACAAAGTCATATTTTATTTTGTAGTGCTCAACTATCCAGTCACATTTTCTAGTGTAGAGCTAACAAATGGCTCTAATGAGTGATATAAATCAATAACATAAAATAAAAAACCCACACATACTGACAGTGAGAGATACAAAAGGCAATTTCATCAAGTAGGCTTTGGTTTACTTATATTTTGTATAAACTGCATAACACATTTGCTGGAATTTAAAGAGCTTTACAGTAATGAATAGATTGATATGTAAACAAATTTCCTGAAACTGAGCACAGTGCAAACACATATTGTGATATTTCAAATAATTCCAGATCCAGATGGTACAACATGTTGTGAGATTTAAAAAAGAAAAATCTTATAAAATGCAAATATTTTAACAATATTCAGAAAAGATAAAAACAGTATAAGAATTTCTTGAACTTAGTTGAAAAGAAAGTCCTTTAAGTTATTCAAGAGAAAATCAGCTCACTAGAAGATAAGCCATATGTAAATCCAGACAAATGAGATTAAAAACAAGAATTTAAAAGGAATAAAGCCTTCTGCATTATGGGACTCCATCAAAGGAGCTAATATTTTCATTATGGGAGTCCATGAAGAAGATATACAAAAGGGGAAGAAAGCTCACTTAAAAACATAATGGCAAAAAACTCCCAGGAATGAAGGAAAGATGTAGAAATCTGGATAAATCAATGATGAAGGTCCACAAAGCATTCAAAAAAGAAGAAGAAGAAGACGAATTCACTGAGGCATATTATAATCAATTGTCAAAAATTAACAAAAAAATATTTTTTTTGAAAATAGCAAGAGAAAAGTGGTTTGTCACATACAAGAAAATGTCCATAAAGCTGTAATACATTTCTCAGCAGTAAAAATACAGGCTGGGAATCATGGAATGACAGACTCCAATAGCTAAATGGAGAAAAACTGCCAAACAAGAATAAATTACCCATCAATGTTGTCAATTAGAAGTAAAGGAGAAATAAAAACTTTTCTAGACAATGAAAAACTGAGGGATGTCATCACCACCAAGTGACTTACAAGAAATGTTAAGGAGTTCTTTAAGCTAAAATGAAAAGACACTAATATAACACTATGTTAACTAACTGTAATTAAAATTATAAATCTTAAAAAATAAAAAGTTTGAAATTATAGAAACAAAGTAAAGAACATTAACTAGTAACATGAGTACATATGAATATGTAAATATGTAGACGAATTCAGATTACCCTAATACTGTAATAGTGGTGTGTAAATCACTATTAACTATATAATAAATGATAAAGGACAAAGTATTTAAATAACTCTAACTTTAATAATTTATTAAGGAATACAAAATATGGGGCGCCTGGGTGGCTCAGTTGGTTGGGCGACTGCTTTCGGCTCAGGTCATGATCCTGGAGTCCCGGGATCGAGTCCCGCATCGGGCTCCCTGCTCGGCAGGGAGTCTGCTTCTCCCTCTGACCCTCCCCCCATCTCATGTGCTTTCTCTCTCTCTCAAATAAATAAATAAATAAATCTTAAAAAAAAAGGAATACAAAATATCAACTATGTAAATAGCAATATTAAAACATGAAATGTTTAAGGAGGAATAAATATACACAGCTTTTGCATATGATGAGGTTAAGTTGTTACCAGCTTGAAATAGACTGTTATAACTCTAAGACATTTTGGAGGAAGCTTATGGTAATCATAAAGGAAAATCCTATACTAGATATACAAAGTTAAAGAGAAGGGTGTCAGAGCGTACAGCTATAGAAAAGCATCAAATCACAAAGGAATTCAGTAAAAGAAAAATAAAAGAACAAATGAATTATCAAACATCCAGGAAACAATTAATATACTGGCAATAGTAGGTCTTTGCAAAACATTAATTTCTTTACATGAAAATGTAATAAATTTTCCAATCAAAAGACAGTTGTTAAATGGTCAAAATAAAAACAAGAACCAAATCTACATTAACTGTAAGACGCTCACATCAGACATAACTGCTTGCATACACTGAAACTGAAGTGATTGAATAGGATATTCCATACTAATGGAAACCTGAACAAATAAGTAAATAAATAAATAGTTTCTATGTTTATGTACCTCTGAAACAAATAATGCAATATATGTTAAGAAAAAAAAAAGAAGAAGATAGCAAGAGGGGAAGAATGAAGGGGGGTAAGTCGGAGGGGGAGACGAACCATGAGAGACAATGGACTCTGAAAAACAAACTGAGGGTTCTAGAGGGGAGGGGGGTGGGGGGATGGGTTAGCCTGGTGAAAATAAATAAATAAATAAATAAATAAATAAATAAATAAATAAATAAATAAAAAACAATAGAAACTTTAAATAAAATATATAACAGGATTATTTGTTTTTTTGGGTGTTGAGTTTGAGAACTTTTTTATAGATCTTGGATACCAGCCCTTTATCTGTAATGTCATTTGCAAATATCTTCTCCTATTCTGTGGGTTGCCTCTTTGTTTTGTTGACTGTTTCCTTTGCTGTGCAAAAGCGTTTTATCTTGATGAAGTCCCAAAAGTTCATTTTTGCTTTTGTTTCCCTTGCCTTTAGAGACATGTCTTGAAAGAAGTCGCTGTGGCCAATGTCAAAGAGGTTACTGCCTATGTTCTCCTCTAGGATTTGTATGGATTCTTGTCTCACATTTAGGTCTTTCCTCCATTTTGAGTTTATTTTTGTGTATTGTATAAGAGAATAGTCCAGTTTCATTCCTCTGCATGTGGCAGAGAAGAGACTGTCTTTTATTTTATTTTATTTTATTTTATTTTTTATTTTATTATTTTATTATATTGAAGACAGTCTTTTTTCCATTGGATATTCTTCCCTGATTTGTTGAAGATTAGTTGAGGGTGCAATTCTGGGGTTTCTATTCTGTTCCACTGATCTATGTGTCTGTTAATCCAGTCAATAAATGGGCTGAAGACATGAACAGACACTTTTCCAAAGAAGATAAACAAATGGCTAACAGACACATGAAAAAATGTTCAACATCACTAGCTATCAGGGAAATATAAATCAAAACCACAATGAGATACCACCTTATACCAGTTAGGATGGCAAAAATTTACAAGATAGGAGACAACAAGTGTTGGCAAGGATGCAGAGAAAGGGCAACCCTCTTACACTGTTGGTGGGAATGCAAACTGGTACAGACACTCTGGGAAACAGTATGGAGGTTCATCAAGACACTAAAAATAGAGCTACTATATGACCCAGCAATTGCACTGCTAGCTATTTACCACGAAAATACAGATGTAGTGAAAAGAAAGGGCACATGCACCCCAATGTTAATAGCAGCAATGTCCATGATAGCTAAACTGTGGAAGAAGCCAAGATGTCCTTCAACAGATGAATGGATAAAGAAGATGTGGTTCATATATACAACGGAATATTACTCAACCATCAGAAATGATGAATATGCATCATTTGCATCAACATGGTTGGAACTGGTGGGGATTGTGTTAAAAGAAGTAAGTTAAGTAGAGAAAGACAATTATATGGTTTCACTCATATGTGGAACATAAGCAATAGCACAGAGGACTATATGGGAAGAGAGGGAAATCCAAAGGGGGAGAAATCAGAGAGGGCGACAAACCATGAGAGACTATGGACCCCAAAAAGCAATCTGGGGGTTGCAGAGGGGAGGAGGGAGGGGGAGGGGATAACAGGGTGATGGGTATTGAGGAGGGCATGTGCTGTGATGAGCACTGGGTGTTATACTTAACTAATGAATCATTGAACACTACATGAAAACTAATGATGTACTATACAGTGGCTAACTGAACATAATAAAAAATAAATGCATTAACTCTGCCCTTTAATTATGGTGAACACCATTTAAAATGAATTCCCTGGACTCAGGGTCAAATGGGGCATCTTCAGGGTTGGAAATGAAGAGAGGACATTTGGGTCACTATGGTCATAAGAATGGTAAGTCCATTGGGCTATGACAATTTTGTGCAGTGGAACTTGGGCTTCATATAATGTTTTCCATTCACCATGAGCCTTAACAGTGAAGGCTGTGATAGAAGATTTGGCATGGTACCTGTCAGTAAATATTCCAGTGAGGAGGGGAGGGCCTTGGTACAATATCAGAGGCTCTGGAGACCTTTGCTTTCCCTATCGCTCTTCATCCTCACTAGAGTGCTCTGTAACAGTCAGCTGTTTCCTTAGTGTCAGGTACATTTCATGAGGCATGTTTCTTGGTTCTATACCATTCATGGAAATCCAAGGGGGCTCAGACTCTGTGGTATCTCAGAGGAAATAGACAAATAGCCTAGATGGATCCTTGAGATGTTTATGGATTTTAGGATTTTTAGACATACAAGTCAGCTGATGGATTTCAGCATCTGTGAGTAACAATTCAGAGCACACTATAAAAACCAGCAATAACCCTTCTCTTTCTTGCTGCAGAAATTTTAAGAAAGGCTTGAATTTCAGTTAAGCTATAGCTTCTAATCTCAGTTTCTGCCTCTTTGATTTTTTCCTGTTACATTTACATTGCATATTATTGTCAGAAAAATTTATGGATGATATCCCTGTGAACCCTCTTTATAGGTGGCTGCTTACCTTTCCAAGGTACAAACTGACTTTACCAGGATTAAGGTCTACCTCCATTAGCATAACATGCACAGAGTGTTTGTAAAGTCCCTAGGCCTCTTGAACACAAACCGGAACCTCTTCATACCATTATGCCATAGCAGTGAGCAATGCCCAAGAAGTTTTCACAGGGATTTTGGATTTTTTGAAGAGTTGCTGTGCCTCCTCATGATGCTTAGGAGACAAACACAGGCACCAGATGTTCAGGATATGTATGTTTGTCCATTATTAATCTTTTTAGCTACATCATGCCAGGAATTAGACCCATGATATCCCATTGGATCAGGGACAAAAAAGTGACAGCAGCAAGTGAGGTGGTAATACAGAAATGTCAGGTCTTTGCTGTATTTTCCTTTTAATGTTAGTATTGATTTCCTATTTTAAGACTATTTCAGTAATTTACATTAAGGCTCATAGTCCCAGAACCACCCACCAACTCAGTCATTGCAGTTGGAGGTCTCCATCTTCCTTACCTACTAGAATATTCTTTCTTTGTGCCTCT